TATTTGACAGAGAGAGACACAGTGAGAGAGGGAACACAAGCAGGGGGAGTGGGAGAGGGAGAAGCAGGCTCCCCGCTGAGCAGGGAGCCCGATGCAGGACTTGATCCCAGGACCCCAAGATCGTGACCTGAGGCGAAGGCTGACGCTTAACGACTGAGCCACCCAGGCGCCCCCAGACTATCTTTCTTTGAAAAGATCATCCTTTGGCCCTCAGAGTCCTTGGCAGCCCACATCTAAGCATCATTATTGTATGCCATTACTTGCCTCCCCTGAGCCACCTCATCCCTTTCTTATGCGGGAGTTCTATCTACCTGTTGAATTTTGAATGAAAGCCCAATGAACAGAAGCTCTGTGCTGAATTCTATATTTTGTTCCTTGCTGGGCTTCCATGAATATAAAACACCAACACAAAGGGGAGAGTCAGCAGGTAGAGATCAACACCATCCATATTTAATGGGAAGGGAGCCTGACCTCATAGATGGGAAAAACCATGGTAGAAGAAGGCCAAGTTAGGTAACTTGCCCATGCTTACAGAGAGAGCTTCTGGCAAAAAAAGGAATATATATCTTATAACAAATTTTCCTGATTTGTAGTACCATCATTTTAATTCCTAAGGAGAAAAAAAAACCACAAACAAGTAAGGGATTAAATGGTGATTGGTAATCAGGAGATTTCCTTCACCTACCATGGGGTACAAAAGTAAGGACATGGAGGGGCGCCTGGGTAGCTCAGTTGGTCAAGCGGCTGCCTTCGGCTCAGGTCATGATCCCAGGGTCCTGGGATCGAGCCCTGCATCGGACTCCCTGCTCGGCGGAGCGCCTGCTTCTCCCTCTCCCTCTGTCTGCCCTCTACCTACTTATGCTCTCTCTCTCTCTCTCTCTCTCTCTCTGTTAAATAAATAAATAAAAAATCTTAAAAAAAAAAAAAAAGAGTAGGGACATGGACCCACATCCTTCACCAAGAACCTAAGCTCTGTGTGACTGGGCTGGCCCACTGCCCACCAGTCTCTTTCTTTAGGGGAAGACACTGGAACACTCACAGTCCCTACCCTCTACCAGAAAGTCAAGGATCCAGAGACTCCTGGAGCGAGAAGCACAGCGGTCTCCCTACCTGTCACTGGGTGTGTGGCTCCCGATGTGGGACCCATGGTGGCTCTTGGCAAGGCTGTCCCAGGGAAAGCATCTCAGCAGTTTCTCCCCTGGCCCTCGGTGGTTTTCGCCTTCTTTCTGAGACAGCTCTTCTGGTGGCAGCCTGACCAGTAGCGGTAGCTTCAGTTACAGCACCTGCAGCTCTCAGTAGCTGTGGCTCCCAGAATCCCCTTCAGGGTTCCTGGGATCTCTGTTCTGTCTCCGGACTCTCCAACAGTTGCCACGTCTCTCTGCAGCTGGACAGACACCACCGCTTTTCTGCGTCCAATATACAAATTAATACATTCTTGTAATACCTACATCAACAGACATAAAACACGGAGTCTCATGGGGCGCCTGAGTGGTTCAGTCAGTTAAGGGTCCGACTCTTGGTTTCGTCTCAGGTCATGATCTCAGGGTCATGATCAGTGCAGAGTCTGCTTGAGATTCTCTCTCTCCCTCTGCCCGTCCCTACCTCCCATTAAATAAATAAATTAATAAATAAATAAACATTTAAATAAAAACATGGAGTCTCACCATTGTGCCCTGTTCCTATTTACACATACTTCTTTTGCACTGGACATACAAGCATCAATGAATATCCAGAAAGATCTAGGAAGTTCCCAACCTACACTCAGTGGGACTATAGTTTGCATTCTTATTCTCACTGCTGCTTCCTCATTTAAATAGTTTTCCAGTTATTCCTTCATTCAACCACCCACTCAATATTTATTGAGCACCGACTATGTGCTGGGGACCACACCCTGGAGAATTAGACCTAGTGCTCCTATTCAAGGTGCTCCTAGTCTAATAACAATTGTTATTATAACAACATCAATAATCAAAAATACTTATAAGATGTTTAGTATGTGCCGTTCCTCAATATCATTAGGTAAATACTCGTTCTTCCCCTCTTTCAAGTGAGAAACCAAGGCACAGAGAGGTACGGCTGCCCATGTTCGCGCAGCGAAGTCAGGTAAGTAGGCAGTCTGTGTTTCGTGTCCTAGCGCAGTGAGGCAGGGAGGCCCCTTGCAGAGAGTATACTCGTGAGTCAGGTGTGTTTCAACCCTAACCTGGTTATACACTCCCACCCCCACCCCCACCTCATTCTCGGATTTTCCAGAGGTAACACCATTTAAAAAAGAAAAAAATAATTGTTTTTTAAGGAAAACTAACAGGAAAGCAGTAACCATAAAACGAGAAAGTAGCCCTCTAAAATGGGAAAAGCGTCCAGCTTTAGGATTGACGTAACCTTTACGTGTGTTTCCAGCTCTTCTGAACTCAACCCTATTTCTGGAGAAAGGGTCTGCACAGTGTTGAATTAGAAAGAGTCAGAAAGATCTGTGATTGCTAAGAAGCTGTCCGGGAACATAGTCCAGGTAGAAAAGAGCAGGCTCACGGAGCCCATCTCCTTGCATCTGGGGGAAGGCTTTCCGCGGAGCACCTTGAACAGGCGCACTAGGTCTGGAAGTCGGTGCTGCTCCGACTCCGGGGTACCTGGGGTATCTGCAGGGTCGTGCCCCCCGCCCCCCTGCCCCGCCGCGGGCCTGGCTGCTCTGCCCCCCGCCCCCCTGCCCCG